TAAAATAAATACAGTGGAACCCCGACTCACGAATACCCCGTTTAACGAAAAATTCAAGTTATGAAGGCACTGAACGACAATATTTCTGCCCGTGTTATGGCAAAATGCCCGGGTAACGAAATCCACTGGCTCTGATTGGCTGAGCCTACAATGCCCACAATGCCTTCCGAATCATGTGACAACTCCTTGGGTTCTGTACTTGCGCTTCGCTGTTCCACTTGAACGACGTATTGTTGTTCTAGTTAGCAATTAGCCTATAGCCTATCGTTCAGCATGGCCTCACTCAAAATGCGCAATGGGTGCTTCGACTTACAAAAGACCCTTGGGAACAAATTAATTTCGTAAGTTGTGGTTCCACTGTACATACAAATACATAGAAAGAAGTTAGATTTGGAAAAAAGCAAGAAAGTTATAATGAAAAAAATATATACACATGTATATACAGTTGCCTGGCGCTATAACATGGTTCGCTTTTCCCGGTCTGATTTTTTTGTGTGCAAATTTGCATGTTTTTTTCATTTATTTAATTTTTTTTAACAGCGGATTATGTTCTGGGTACTGATTGTAGACCACTGTGACTCAAGGTCTTAAATAATCAGACCTTGAGTCACAGTGGTCTGCCGTGTCTCCTGTCAAATTTACATAAATCTTCGATCGCTAGTAGTGCGACTGTGAGATGCTGTACTGTCTGTTTGTAAGTTTTTGTCATGGTCCCCATGTCTGCCTGGCGGACCCAGGTTGGCTACATATGTTTCTGGTTCTCCCTCACGCTCACCATGTGTCGCCTGGGCGGAGCTCATTGCAGGCTTCCGATCCTGCCCTTCGCACCTGTGGCTCATCACTTCACCAGCGTCCACTACTTAAGGCAGTGGTGGGAAACATCTCATGGTTGGACTATTGAGTAACCTCGGTTGTAAGCTTCCGTACCCTAGTTTCAAGTTGTTTCTTCGTTTTATCTTTCTGGATTAACCGCTTGTTCCTGTGCGCAGGATTCTCTTTCCCTTAAAACCCTGGGCGAGTGGAGTTGCTGGTGTGTTGTGTTTTGGAACTGTGACGATTTCCTCATGTGTAAAGAGCCCCTATTTCTGGACGTCCCCTGTGCCCCACCTATCGTGGGTTATTTTTAGAACATAACTCCTGTGATAAATGACCACCGTATGTAAAATAGCTGCTTGGTATTTTGTTTGAAAATGCTTTATGAAGTTATTATTATCCACATCTGCAGTTTTCATGCAATATCAGTTTGGTAAAAAACACATTCCTATAACTTTTATAATACAATAAAAAGTACAACTACTACACACTACTAAGGGAACAAAGATTAAAATGTGACAGGGATAAAAAGCACTAATATCGCTCAAAGGAAAATAAACTTTATGTTTATCTCCATACTACCTAAATTTAACATTCAGTGCGTTTACTGCAGGTCCAGAAATCAGAGCTACCTCATCAGATCCAAGTGTGACATCAGCTGCACTCTTTACAGGAGACTCCACCTGAACTCTGTGGAGCCTGATCTCAAGGTGTTTAAGTCTGACCCTGAAACCAGAAGAGGATCTTTCTGTCTCTTCAGATTCATTGTGATCCATTGATGGGAATAATTTCATGACTACGCTGATGTTTGCGCAGAGCAGATAATGAAGTGAATGCTTTTGCACATTGGTAACAGTGAAACAGTTTATTTGCAGCGTGGGATCGTTTGTGTGTGGTGTATGAACTGAGATTTCTGAAGGTCTTGTCACACTGGTCACAGCTGAAGTTCCCTTTAATGTGTGTACGTTCATGTGTTTTACAATGAGCTGATTGTGAGAAGCTTTTGTCACAGTGTCTGCACTTGTATGGTTTCTCTCTTGTGTGGACTCGTTTATGCAGGTTTAGGTCACCTGCAGTAGTAAAGCCTCTCCCACATTCGTTGCAGTAGTTCATTTTGCCTCCAGTGTGTCTAAGTTGATGTTTTCTTAGGCTCCCACGATTACTGAAAGTTTTTCCACAAAGGTCACAAAGAAACTCTTTCCCACCACCACAGTGCTCACAGGGTTGAGAACTGGATCCATCTGTGTCGCTCTGCTTCTAAACAAAGACACAAAGACAGTGTAAGTCGGGGAATCCTTTCAACATTTTTATTCTGAACGTCGCCTGAAATAAAGAGCAGCCTAATTACATTTTACTGTTTACATTATAACACTCAGCTTACTGGGCGAAGTTAAAAATAAAATGATTAAACAATGCTGTTTTTTATGTACACATTGCTATGTGCTCATTAAAGAGTTGGCACTCCATGTAGTGATGGTCAAAACCTTCATTCAGCACTATGAATTATTGCGACTGACATGCTGAGTTGCGGAGGGTTCTGCAAACATGCTTACACATCACACTGGTTAAAGTCAGGGAGATACTTTTGCTTGACCAAGGGAGACCGAACATTTCCTGAGCTTAGATAATAACTAGAAACGGTATGCTGAAAATTGCTAGATAATTTTAAATGCAGCAAAGATAGGTTGGGGAGGTGATTTTTCGTTCTCCATCTTATTCCAGGAAGAGGGATGATACAAGACGAGGTCAAACGTGAATGAGGTGCAAGAGGAGAACCAGCCAGGAGAAGCCAGAAGAAAATAGTCATAACAATACATTTTTCTTTTAGCATAAAACTGCGCGGCCCTCCTCTAAGGGCATCCTTTGTGAGAAAACAGACCGCTGATTTCACATCAATGTTCAGCACTGTAACTTTTAATTTCAACTGCTGAAGCAAATTAAATCTTTTAAAAGAATAGACGCTCTGACATACATTATCAGTAAGCAGTCTCTGTTACTGTCAGTGGCTTCATCCATCTGTGATAAAAGTGTTTATCACGCACCTTATCATTAGGCTGTTCCACTATGTCCTCTGACATATAATAATAATAATAATAATAATAATAATAATAATAATAATACTGTGTACTTTATTGATCCCTGTGGGGAAATTACTCTCTCTGCATTTGACCCATTCACTCAGTGAAGCCGTGGGCAGCCACTAAGGAGGTGCACCAGGGAGCAGTGTGTAGGGACGGTATCTTGCTCAGGGGTACCTCAGGGTAGCTGTTCAGTGGATTTGAATGCCGGACCTTCTGATCATGGGGTTCAACTAGAGCTGGGCGACAGAACGATAACGATATGTATTGCAAAATACCTTTTTCTCGATAGAAAAATTTAACTATTGTGATAGACCTCATCTCTCTTGTCCTCTTAACAAAAAAAAGAAAGAAAAAAAAGAACAGCCAATCCACATTAAGTAGCGCAGAGCCGAACCAATCACAGCCGCAGCGTCACGTCACGTGACTTGTTACGTACAGCATATGTGCCAAGCCGCACACGTGTATTTGTTTGGGAAGCAGCCAGCCACCGTACCGCCCAGGTAATGAAGGAAATGAGTGTGCCGACTAGAGAAACAT